AAACCTGCAGAAATAATCCTTCTCTTCGCGAGGACGCTCCAAAGATGTGATATTTATTAGTGCAAACTGGCTCTTTTTCATGCAACAAACCAGACGGACTAAGATTAATTCACACCCACAGTCCTACTGCGCCCCGATAAGGTAAATTATACCTCAGAAAACCCTCCGATAAGCAGGAAGTGACAGCCTCTATACTCGCACACCGCATGAACTCAGCTGTGGACTCACACAGACACAAATACTCTAAAATAAGCCACAGAGAGATTAGATAAGCACAGAGACAGCCAGAGCAAAAGCAGCATATATATACACACTCACATACCTCCCTATAGTCAGACACACCTGCACACGGCATGCATGCAAAATTCAGCTACTCGAATATTTCAACTCTGGTCTGGAAATGCAAAAATACTCATGTAAACACTGTTTTATTCAGACTTAAATTTAAGTTATAGTCAAACTCACCGTAACACCGAGTTAGACCCCTCCTCCAGAGATGAATGTTGTCGACCGCTTGCTTCTCTAGTTATACCAACTTTAGTAACGACCGCAGGATAGAAATACAGAGAGCCACGCCCTCAACCAAAACGCCACTCTATAGCCACAAATAATGCTCAGAACAGCACCTAACTTCATCAACAGGACATACAGGGTCACAGACATAGTACTAGACACCAAACATCTTTTTAACTTTAGCAAAGAGACTACACACAACTCACCTACTCTCTTCCAGCAGCCGCTTGTTTGTGGGGGGAGCCCTGACGAGTCGATCACCGAGTGCAGCGTAGTTTCTGAAGTTGGGTCTGAACACGGCCCTGCAGAGTATCACAGAGGAAACAGACGATGTCAAGTTTATGCAACAAAAACTGCAGGAAAAAAACACTTTCCTGTTGATTAAAGAATCAGAGGCTGAATTTATACGCCTGTCTAAGAAAGATCGTGTAAAGGTGACTCTAGTACAGACAGGAGTGAAACCACAGCATGAGTACGATGGCTTTAGTTTCTGCGAAGTTATTTAACTTAAATTTTAAAGTTTACACCACACTGAGTCAGAGCTGGCTGTAAAGATGGAAAAATACATGAAAACGAACATCCTTCTCTGTTGTGAGTGGAATATTCCCACTGTGCAATGAAACGTTGAAATGACCTCTGTTTAACATATACTTTTGAAGATGGGGTACAAATGTGGACGTCATTATTAACGTCTAAGAGGTCCAATAATCTTGGATCTATTTTGCAGGTTGTGCCAACGTCTCGATTTGGTCTTCAGATGACGTCCCAATTCTAAACATAAGAGTGACGTCTAAAAAAGGTCTAATTTGGACGTCGAAATTTCTAACCTATTTTGCACGTCGCACTGACGGATACATCTGGTCTTTGATGGACCGACCCAATGCTGACTTGATCCGCCAAATCCAAGTTTGGTGGGTTAACAGTGTGACTTATAAAGTATACAGTCAAATTTGACAGCTCTACAGCTTTGTCGCTGTGCATGAGTGTAAAGATGATTCAAAAAATCACTTTAGAAGTTTTAACTGAACTTGTTGGGAAACAGTTTTGCTGTTTTGCTTATAAATGGAGTTTTTTGGGCGTGTAAGAGTGCAAAATTGTGTCCGGTAATCGTTCTGCCACCATAACAACCGTGGACTATTTGAAAAACTCAGAGCGCTGTTTTGTCTGGACTGAATCAAAAGAAAAATAATTTGCCTCGAGGTTTTTTAATCGTCAAGTTACAGCATTTTTTCAAAGGATGGTTTCATCCCTGCAAAGATTTCGAACTCTGTGAAGTGTCCTCTTCTAAAAAAGCAATTAGACAAAAACACAGATAGACTTTCTTCTTCTTTTTGTTTCACTCTGAAAAATGCTGCCAAAACCAGGTTAGATTAAAAAAAAAAACAAGAAAGCTTTGGTTTAAAATACAAAACAAAACAGCTTTGCAGATGTTAAGAGTGTAAGAAATTCATTCAGGGCTTTTGTTCGACCTCAAGGCTGCAAACAAATAAATAAGCAAATTAAAAACACGCGTCTATGTCAGGATCACCTTTTTTAGTCAAACACACTTTGCATGAAATAAAACTTGCTCTCTGTATTTCCTGTTGCTCTACAATATTTTTAATATCTTGCAGTTTGACCTAAATCTTTTTTCATGTCAGACAGCAGGAAGTATTAAATTTCAGTGAGCAGTATTATTTACGCCTGCAACATGGTTTTAATGGTAATAAATAAGTCTAAGAGAGGAACAGAGGATTTTCTACGAGACGCCAGAGTTTGAGTCTGAAGGGAGGCGGAGGAGTCAGAGATGAAATACTTCATTCACAGAATCTGCCGAGTTTACAAGATTTACATTTTAACCAAAATCAATAATTCTGTCTCAGCCGACAGGAAGTAGTTTTAGAGTCTGAGCTGCAAAAAGACAAAATGTGGCCGAGGATGTGATTTGTTCCAGCTCTGAGTAAACTTCATCCACATCACCAACATAATAAGGGTAGTATCAAGTAAACTGAAGGCCGGGCGATAAATCGATAAGATATAAGAAGTGTTTGATAAAAATCTGATTGATTGAAACTCTACATCTGTAACAGAAAGACAGTAAAAAGTTGACATCAGTTCTGGCACTAACATCCCTTTAATGCTAGTCTAAACAGCCAATCATAATGCAGGGATTGGGATGGGTGGGTAGACTCTTGGGGTTGGTAGGAGACAGCGACACAGGAGCGAAGGCGAGCAAACAGTATCAGCATGTATTGTGTTGTTTTTGTTAGAATACGAATCATGTTTTTTAGAGGCGTTTCCCTAGTGTAATGCTAATTCTGTTAGCCCATTAATGACAATTCACTGTTTGTGTTAGCATCAAGCTAATGAACCCAGTTTAAAGTTCTATGGTTGCTGCAATGATGTCAACAGAAGGTGCAGTTTTATGAGTGTTGTGCTAAACTGTGCAAGTCAGTATGCGTTTTTGACTTTAACAGCGATACATTTGCGATAAAATGTTTTGTCGTATCCCCCCAGCTTTAAACGTACCAAATGAATCCTTGGGGCTCACAAAAAGCAGAACATTTTTATTTTACAAATGTAGAAGCCTTTAAAATGGGACGCACCGCTGTGTTGCCCTTAGCAACGGTCTTTTCTTCATAGCAACAGTGTGTTATAAGGAAATAGCAGACCCATGCGTCAGAATAGTTTAACAGTTTAATTGGACTAAGATCATAATTTTTTTTTTTTGCCGAATCGGACTTCACTCCTTGTCCGCGTTTACATGCAGCTGAGAAAATCGAATTATTGACGTGAACGTGTCCTCCTCCCCAAAACTAGGGGGCGATATCGGTCTTTTCAGCTGCGCTGTTTCCAGACCTTTTTTAAAGATGTCTCCGTTCCTCATTTTGCGACCGTCCATCTACTTTAAAATGTCCATTTCTGTCAGGAAGGGAAGCATGATGGCGCTCCCCTCGTCGTTCCAAAGGTGGACATTCTTTTGTGCCTCAGCCATGTTGCTGTTTCTTCTGAGTCAAAAGTTCTTTAAATGATAGCGCCACTTCTTCTCTGGTGTTTTTGTTCCAGGGTTACAGAGGCATGGCGCGATACTACTCTGAGTACACTGTTTACATGGTTCTCAAACTCTGATTATAGTCGGACTAAGATGTTTACATAAATTTCAGTTGTCTGGTCTTAATTGGAGTAAGGCGATAATTCGGTTTTCTTGAGTGTCATGTAACCATAGACTATCAACTATTTGACATAGCTGCATAATCAGGTACGCTGAAATCCCTGCTCACTTCGGTGTAAGAAGAACTAAACAAGCTTATGCACCAGTTTCAGCTCTGCAGTATTTTTCCGAGGATAAGGAAACCGACGCATTAACTCCAGACAGAGGAGGAATATGTCTCTGCGTCTCCCGCCTCTCCCCCTCTCTGGTCAGCGGTGTGAGGGACCCAGAGGGCCGTGCAGGTTAATGACTTCCTCTGCCGCTGTTGGACAGATAGATAGATGCGTGGAATGAGCTGTGCTGAGGCTGATAAAGTCGAGGGGGAGTTACCGTGTGTCCTGGTCGCTGTAGAGCCCGCTGCTCCCCATTCATCAGCTGCTGTATAGGAAAACTAGACCAGACCAGATGGATCTCACACACACACACACACACACACACACGGGCAAGCTGAAGGCGGTGTGTGTTTCTGTGTGAGTGCGTGATCGTTGCACTCTTTCGACACATGGTAGAGCGAAAACTTGAACTTTGTTTCGCAAAGGATATGAGGAATGTGTGACGGAGGTTTGTGTGTGTATATATAACAGGCATTTGCAGGGACCTCACACACACCCTAACACACAGACACACACAATAAACTGTAAATACACACACATCTGAGCACACCCCTGCCTTTTAATCAGGCCGATAAACACGGGCGCAAACATCCTCTCAAAGTGCCGTTTATTTAAATCAGACGGATTTATCAACAGCGAAGCGAGCGGGACAATAAACTCAATAAGATCGTCTATAACTCTCCCCCGTGAAACACAAACACATCATCTCACATTCAGGAAGTGTGGAGCGGTTTGTACACAGACTGTCAGGACTGTTACTGCGAAAAGAAAAGAGCCATACTGTCCTGTAGTAAACAAATAGGCAAGAGCTGTTATTATCAGCCAACAGCAGCCATTCATACACTCACACTGTATACACACACACTCACACAGACACACACACACACACGGAGACAGAGGCAGCAGTATTCATTACTCTGCCACATTAAAAGGCAGCACAATGGAACATAAATGACTCTGCGCTCCAATAGCTTAATTGCTAATCTCTTCTTTTAGGACAGTGTTTATTTCATTATCCTCGTTTGCGCCGATGCTATCTCCCCGCTAATTAACTTGTTTGGATTAAATGTCTACCCCTTCACGCCAGGAAATAAGCAAACAGATGTGGAGACCACCGTGAAACCTGCTGCAGAAAACACCGAGAGGAGAGTAAGAATAGTTCGGACGGTTTCATTTTTCAGACCATGAATCTGACAGTAAAACTCGACCGCATCGCTGCTACGGGGGGACAGTGGAGTCCATGTTTTAATACCGATCAGGGCGACGACTTGGCGAGTATGAAGTCACGTCATGGTGGAGACGAGACCATAAAACAGGAACCTCTCAGTACCATGATCCTCGTGGTCAAAGACGGCGTTTACAACTTACTGACGCCTGTTTACATCCACTCAGCTGATGGTCCGTTTTCATTGGCTAATGACGCAGATGCAGGTTCAGGTTTATTTGCATATAGAGTGAAGAAGTGAGATCTGATCACGAGTGGTCGCCAGAGACGCAGATGGAGATGTATGTTAATGTCAGGTGTGAAGAGGCGCTCTCTGAGCTGAGATTACCCAGCATGCATGTTGATACCACATGTAAACGGTCTCTAGGTGCTCAGGCAGAGAGGGCCAAACAGACTCATGCTGGGATTAATAAACATCTGACAAACTCTAAAATACCTGCAAACCCCTGACCAGGGCCCAGGGGTCGAGTTGCTCCGACTGCAGGTGGACTAAGTGGGCTGATTTAAAGGTACATGGACCTGGTCTTTGTGGGGTCAAAATCTAACCTGACCAGAGAGGTGAGGTGAGGTAGTCTGACCAAAATGGTTGTTGTACCAGGATGTAAACATCATCAGAATGGGTGTGTATGTGGTTGAAAGGGTTTCTGCAGCAAGCCTCTAGTGGACACTGAAGGAACTGCAGCTTTTAAACCCCAAATTGCCACAGCATCCAGAACGGCTATGAAAAGGATGTAACCGGCGATCGTAGCTGATCGTAACCATTCAAGCTAATCTGTCAATTTCCACCTGCTTCTTTCCGTTCGGATGCGGATCGCCGGACTCCACAGCTGATCGCAAGAGTTCTATTTACCAGATGCAGGAGCATGGCGGAAAGGAAGTCGGGCACAGACACAAAATAAAACATCCGGCTTCTTTTCAAAATAAAACACTCCGTGTTTCAGGAGGATCGTATTTCACACCATGCAAACGGGCGGAGACGAACAAGTGAAAGGTTTTTAGACGTCATTTCACCCCGATGACACCATGGATGAGGAGATGCTGATTCTAGAAGTCTAGAAGTAGATTTCCTCCTCTGGAAGGACACAATCTACTGCTTGTATGGTTAGCCTCTGTGGCTAAAGACAACTCGTTATGCGATTGCACGTGATTCCGGAAGTTCTTGTGAGTTCTTGCAATTCCAGTTGTCTGTAGTCCACCACGAAATTCACCTCACAAACAGATCTGGTAGGAAATGGCGTACGGCAAAAATTGCTGCCATTCCAGATCGGAGCCGTTCCGGATACAGTGGAAATCCTGGGTCACACTTCCACACTGGCTTCATTTACAAAGACGAGAGGTTGCTGCTTCGTTCTCCATCTACACACGTCTGTTTTTTCTGTTTTATATTTAAGGTGGAAAAACTATTCAGGACTTCATCTGGACCTGAAAACTGGACCTGAACCTCCTTCATAAGTGAGGGAGTGTACGAGGAAGCAGACCCTCTAACTCTCCTCTGTTTACACCTACAGTCATGACTCTTCAGCACCAGTTTCCTGCACGTTCAGGTTGACAGAAAATAACACACAGCTCTGCACGCACCACGCCGACCTTGAGAAATATGCAACGCTGCACGTAGCCAGAAGTGGAGCTGCCGACTCGGTGCGCATTCCAGATTCCGAGCATCTGGTTCCCCGGGTGGCCCTCTACATCAGATGGGATCTGAGATGTCTGGAAGCCTTCAGTGGTCCCCATTTGTTTTAATCTGCTGCTCAGGTGTTAATCTATCACTCAGACAGAGTCGTCTCTCCACGGCAGGTGAGACGTGGCTGTCTGGACGGATTCATCGGCACCTTTTGAGTTTGAACGTTTGAGGACGACGGATACACAAAAGGCCGAGGATGCTGGAGAAGTAATTCTGTCGTGGAGGTAGAGTTCAGGGTTTGTTTGTCCAAGTTTGCAGCACTGCGGCGACCTCAAACAGTGACTATCTTGTTCCTCCGTGTTTGAAAACTTGCAGAAGAAGGAAAGGAGGCAAAGAGAGGCCACGTTAGAGAGACACAAAGAGAGGAGCGTGCTTGCTGGTTTGTGTAATTGTGCCGACCTGATTGGCAGTGAAAGAAAAACGATTTCTTTATCTCCTTCCTCAGTACCGGGAAACGGGAGCGAGGGGAGAAAAAAGACGAAAGTGTAAAACAGTGTGTGCTTCTGGGTGTGTGTTTGTGAGTGTACATGTACAAGGTGTGTAAAGAAGCGCGGTGATAAAGAGGCTGCGAAAGACAGCAATGAGAAAAAGAGAGGATGTGATTAGAGAGAGAAAAGAGCGGGTTCTGAACTATTGAACGGCCTATCTGGCTGTGTACGCAGCCATCTGTACGCGGGGCCCTGAACCCATTTAAATTCAGGACGATTGCACTGTTTCTCAAATCCTTCAAGCTGAATGCTTTTTGCAACTCACCGACGGCCGGCTCTGCAGAGAAACACTGCGGCGGTGAAGACGAACAACAGCAGCGCACCAAGGGCAGAGCTCTTTGTCTGCGAAGAAAGGCGACATTATCTACCTTTACGACTCTCTTTTAACAGCTTCTCTCCTGCCGTTTTCTCTGCGCGGCTTTCTTATTTCCTGACATTTTGTTGGTGATAAGCTCTTTGGTGTGCGGGGCTTCTGTAGACAACACCACACAGGTCACGTTTCAGTGTGGCCGGAACTGTAAAGTGGACAGAGACCACCACCACCAGGACCTGAACGTGACCTCAGAGCTGGATCAGCAGCCGACCGAAACACGACCGCACAGGGTTGAATCAGCGGTGACATCGCCAACGATAACTCGCTAATGCTAATACTTGGCGCACTCTTGCATATGAGTCCAAGGTAGAGCCACGTAAGAAAATATCGAACTTTTACGGTGTGGCGGCTTTAATCTAGCCATGACGGTGCGTCGGTGTTGATGCGTCACAACAACAATATTAAAGGCGGCTTTATGCCTCTGCATCTGATCGATGTCATACCTGAGCAACAAAAGGTGACCACGTCGCTAAGCAACATCGACACTCGTCATGTCACCACTTTATGGTCACGCGACGTTCTGTCCAAACAATGGCGACTGAATCGCAGCCTCAACAAGTTTGATTGTAAGTCGATGAATATGTGTCGAAGATAAAACATACGTTTCTCAAAAGAGCGTTTAATTAGCTTGATGTGAGTGTCGGGGTTAAAGTCTCAAAGACGAGCAAAATCTGGCAGCAGAAAGCTGTAGCCTTGCTTGAGGGCAGTTTCTCATAAAAGGGGCGGAGCTTCTCTATTGCTCATCCATTGGTTGTGGTTGTGTCACGTCACTGCGACTTGCGAGAATATCAAACTCAGGACTAGGAAAAGACTGATATAAGATTGAGATGACCATTGGTTGTTGGTTTGTGTTACGTCACTGCAACTTGCGATAATATCAAACTCAGGACTAGGAAAAGACTGATATAAAACAGCGTAGACAACCGCCTTAAACTTGAGGATTGCGATGACAGGAGCGCGTTGTGACTCCGCTGTAGGGCTGTAAAGTCCTTGTCGACTTATTAGTCGATACATGCTGAGTCGACCATAATTCTGATTGGTCGACTCGATTTTTTTCCGTGTCAATTTACAGTCTATGGTTAATTTTATCAGGAGGAACGTACCAAGTGCAAACGGGGGTGTTTTCAGAGCACCTCTGTTTCACAGGTAATAGTCTTGTCTCAGAACACCCCCCTTGTTTTCACCATTTTGGATTCGCCCAACCCACTAGACAGGAAGATAGAAGAGCGTCCACGTTAATCGACATCCAGTAGTTTGCTATCTTCTTGTATTGATACCGTATATTTACACCCCCCCACGATTAGTCAAAAATTTCAGGATTTTAGTCGACCAAGAGTTTCTGTGGTTGATTACCACCATACTCGGCTGTGACTCCAGTGAAAATCTGAGATTTACTTAGACTTTGATTTTAGTCTGGGACTGTAAAACTTGTTCAGTAGAAGCTCAGCATTACTCGTACAACCTCACTCCAAAATTCATGACATATTTTGACCTCCCTCTCTCCAAAGTCTACGACCAGTATCCTCCAAATTGCGTCCAGGACACTCTCGATGCCGGCTGTAGTTAAACGCACTCACATGATCAGGATCGAACATTTCTCTCCGTCCACACCAGTTGAGGCTCCAGAAGAGCACTTTAGCTTCCAGCTTGACCTGCTTTTTAAACGCCCAGTACTCTTTGTGAAAGCGGCGTTTCCGATGACGCGTTTGGTGTATCTGAGCGTTTTTTTTTCCAGGATTCAGAAATGCCCCGAGTCTGTGCATCTCCGCGCTGTTAGGAAATCACAAAGCACTCAAATCAGTGCATCTCATCAGCACCTATTCCATCAACACTCGGCCGCCGACACTCAAGTGCAGCCTTCAATTTCAGAGAGTGATGGATGGGCTGGCGGTGCAGGGGGGAGGGATGATGAACCCCAATCAGGGGGCTCCGCCGGGACTGTTATCAATGGGCTACTTCCTGAAACATCTGCTCCCCGGTTATCCATCATCAGACAACCAGAGGAGCCGTCACAGCCAATGACGGTCTCAGCTGCGAGGTCTCTGGCAGGAGGCGGACACGCGACGACACCTTTTGAGGTTTTCATCACGGCGTTTTGTCATTACATGATCAAAGTGATAGTGGGACGGACTTTGACAAGGACAGTGTTCCCAGGCTGCAATAAATCAGCGATTTCCTCTGATGATAAGAGGCGGCGGCGGCGGCGGGCCGTGATAGATTTCTGCGGAGAAGCCTTGAGTACACGGCGTACGTACGGCTGAGTTTATCTGATCTATGCAGAGTTCGGAGGTTGTTCCAGGAAAGCAAATGTCCTGAGTCCACCGTCGACTCAGGAATAGATCTAATTCAGAATATGAAACATGCATTTGTAGAAGTTGATGGAGTTGCATTGAGGATTGTTGACCAATGAGAGTCAATCTCACAAAGACGTGTTGATGTATTTCTTTAAACGAGCGATCTAACCCCAGCGGAGTTTAATCACGCTGAAAAAAACTTGTTTATTTTCTCAGTTTTCTCTCAGATTAATCAAACAACATATGGATTTTTTTTCTATCCATCTAAGAAGCCCATTATCCCTCAACAGCGCGCCCTGTTAGCGCGTTGCCTCCACTCAGTTGTGTGGCGTTCAGAGTGATATAGTCCATGGTGTTCAGTGTGATTACTCCAGATGCTGCCTGGCATGTAACTAATGAGTCGTGCTTCACCCTGGGTCAAGTCTGAGGCTTCTGCTGGGGCTTTGAAGCTTGTTTACCCTCCTGCCTAATACCCATGAGGCCTCCCGGCTTCCCCTTCACCACCGCCGCCGCTGCTCTGCTCCTCTCCCCGCATACCTGAAAGATAAATTAAATAACCTGCGCTGGAAAAAATAACAGCGCCGTGTTGAAAGAGTCAACGTGTGAAAGCTGAAATGTCACACAGGCTTGTTCCTCATCAACCATCAGCCGTGGGTCTGTTTGATCTTTCTCAGCACAGAACTGAACCCGGTCTCTGCTCACCTGGAGCGCCACGCTCTGAGAGTGGAGCGTAATAACACTGACGGAGAATATGTGCAAAAGGACACGTCGATTTAGGTTTTACCTGAGTATGTGCACGTGCAGATTTAAAGAAGAAATCAAAAATTTGGATCAGAAATCGGCTCTGATATTGACAAATTAACTGGATCAGATATCGGATGAATGACGCTGATCCAGCGTTCTGATCCAGTCTTTTTTTCCTTTTCATTAATTTTTCTTTTAATACATGAAAGTCTTACTTTTTTGCTGTGTGCTAACGTACAATTTGTTAATAAATAATATAAATTTATATCTGTATTAATTTGTTACCTTTTTTTTAACAAGGCTAATGTTCTCACTCAGGGTAAGGTATACAGTTCATTCATTCAACAGAAGTACTGAATCGGTATCGGATACGCTCAGCCTAGGTATCGGAAAAAAATGGATCGTTGCATCTCAAGTTCAAACATGATGGAAGTATTGATTACTCACGACACTTTCTTTTCTGCACAAGATAATTATATATTCGTACAAAATAGTGCACAAGTTTTTCCCTAAAGGTAGTGAGTTTGTTGTTTTAAGCTTATTATCTTGTGTGTGCTAGTTCGTTGCCGCAAGATAATTATCACGTGTACAAGATTTTCAACGGCACAAAATGAGGCCTTTCGTGCGTGAGACGGTAACCTGTCCCTCAATGTATTTATACAATGTCATTAGCAAGATGAACCCACAAGATAATAATATTAGTTGTGCAAAAGAGTATCTTGTGGACAAAAGAAGTTTCAGAAGGTAAACTTGACAAGATAACGAAATGGGAGCAAATTACGGCTCTGCAATAAACCACAAATCTACTGATACAGAAATTTACGACCACAACCAACATCACTTTGCCCATAGTAGCATATTCAGTGTCAAAATAAATAAATAAATCAAGGTTTGTTTTTGGATGTGTGTAGGTAGGCTATGGTCTCATGTCCCTTTAAGACGCTAGTTAAACGCTGGTTAGACCGTGCATTGATAGAAAAAGTGTGTGGAGTACCACAGGGTCCTGTGCTCGAACCACTGTTACTCATATTATATAAGAATGATGGATGTTTGGTTGCAAAGTGCAAATTATTTTAGATTTTTACATTAGACAATTACAACAATTTTTCATATTAATACAAAACTTCTGGATACAGTGGAGAAGGACTACAGACAAAGGTGGTTCAGCAGGGTTTCCCCCTTCATCGCCACGGCTAAATAAAAGCCGTCACACCTAAAAATAAACGTTTTTATCTCACATAGTTCGACCTCGGGTATGAATCCTCCTCCTGCTGATACGAGAGTCACCTTTTTACCATCTTACAGGGACAGAAGTCGAGGTTTGGTTACGTTTTCTCTTATTTTGTAGAAACCAGCAGGTGAACCTGACACCTGATACTCTACAGGGGGCGTGTCCAGAATTCTTGACCAGGGTGGCACGACTGGGACTCTGATATAGGTAGAGATGGCCATGGTATCTGTGCCCTGTCTGCCTCTAATCTGGCGAAGGGCACTTTGTTTGGATCCACGTACAGACAAAAACATAAACCATACAACAAACCCCCATTAACCATCTCTGCACTCACCGCCATTACCGCCTAACTGGGTAATGACCAAACGACAGAGTGACTGCCTGCGTGACCCCTCGCCCACTCAAGGTCACCGCCGTAATCCTTCCACCGCGACCCGAGAGGTGAAGCGAGATGGTCCCCTGGCACATCAAGACGACAACCCCCTCTCTTCACCCCCCCCCACTTTATTACGAGAGGCTGGAGAAATGCAATGTCTGAGACGGATAAAGGCCGGGCGAGGAGTCGGGGTTCTCAGAGTGGAGACGAAAATAAAAAGTCAAGGAGGATTTCAGAGGATTTGCAGCCTCTAACTCAAGGTCTGCTGCCAGCTCCGTGTGTGTGTGTGTGTGTCGGTGTGTCGGCGTGAGGAAGAAACAGATGTGTGAGGCATTCAGTCTTGACCTTGCCATGCCGAATCCTATTTCCTTTTGGCTGTTGCCCGGCAACATCACCTTGACGGCGAGAAATGGTCGAAGAAAAGCTGAAAGCGAGGGATAAAAACAGAAAGCGGCCTCACGCTGACTTGATACTTTCATATCACCCCCGTGCCTCAGAGCCAAGCGGCTGATTGTCCTTCTGCAGCTTCGCTTAACAGAGGTTTTATTTTTTCCTCTCAGCCCTCGTGGGACAGGTCAAAAGGTCAAAGTTCAGCCAATAGCATCTCTGGCCTCCGCTAAAGGGGCTTTAGCGGCTTTAATCTGCGAGAAGTTATGGCCTTCACTTGTATCTGACCCCGGAGGAAGCAGCAGGATCGTAGGTAGTCAAGATCAAAGTCATCCTGGCACATATGGCAGAGAGGGAACCCGGACCCCCTCCTGGATAAACATGATGTAATATCTGTGGGAGCTTTCAACTGACCCCCAGGGGCCCCGCTTCTTCACCCCTGAGTCCCAGCACAATAACGGCTCTTCTTCTTCTTCTTCTTCTTCTTCTTCTTCTTCTTCTTCTGCTTTTTCCACAGCGGCTTCGATCACAGAGGAAGGCGATGATTGAGTGCCTTGTAACTCCCATCGAAGCATTTAATAGAAATAAGAGAGGGCTGCACACAGAGAGGCAGGAAGACGGAGAGCACAGAGGTGATGGATCCACGGGGGCCATCTGGGATCTCAGGGGGGGTTCGTGCCGCGCCAATAAAACAAGACTCTGTGGAAGCGCTTCAGTGTAGTCAGTGATCATTTTAATTTTACTGCCTGTAATGTGATTAAATCCTGAAAAATAGATGGAATTCAGTGTTACGGCCTCCGCAAATGAAGACGCACTTTCTTCTATTAGGTCAGATTGAATATGCTGCTTGAATTACGCCGTCCAGAAGTCCACGTCTGATCCTTATTAAAGCGTTTTTCTTATTGGTTCATCTGCTCGGACTGTTAAATGATTCAGTTTGTCTGCTCGGGTCTCTGCATGTTAATACAGAGAGGAGGAGGTTTGAGATTTTGTTCAGACCTCATGAGTTTGAAAAGACGGAAACTGCAAAGATTTGACTTTTCTTTCTGTCTCTGCTGAAATGATTTTATATTCTTAACATCTCCTCAAACTCAACAAACTTCACTAAAACGGATATTTTATGGGTTTTTCTTAAGTGGTGAGAAATGAAGTCTATAGAGGTGCACCAGAAACCGTATACACAATCAGAAGAGCGTAAATATACACGTTTAAGACCTGGTTCAACAAAAAGGTTTTGGTCTGGAGACCTCCCACAGCTCCCACAGCTCCCACAGCTCCCACTGTACAGAGAGGAGCTTTTTTGTAATGCGTTCAATCTGGTAAATTAACCAAAATGAGGTTGAGTCAGTGTTACCAATGTGACAACTGCTGCCAACAGACTCCAAACTCCACTTCAGAAATACGTGTCAACAAAACTACATCCATGTTTTACACAGTGTATAGTAAGGCTGGATGATATGGCCTCAAATCAATATCACGATATATTGATCAGTTCACCTCGATAACGATAAATAGACGATGACTGGACATGGACATTAACTTCGTCTACTTCAGCCGCTCCAACCTTTGAACCGTCCTCCATCTCCTCACCTGTCTTTCCCTCTTTGTTACTGACTGGATAGGGTGGAGTCACGTCTCTGGCACTATTTGAACGACAAAAACTAGGGCCCAACCGATTTATCAGCGAGCCGATAAAATCGTCCAGTCTTAGCCTGTTTGAGACTAATCGGTAATTGGCCAAAACTCGCCAATTTTGCCGATAGAATGCGGAGAATAAGATTCAGTTTCACTTTGAAAATGCTCAGCCATTTGAAAAGTTCCCCGACTTATCCTGTAGATGGCGCAGTGACCTCATGAAAACGCTTTTTCCGAGTTTGATTCATGATAAACACGTGGAATATTACTGAGGTTAATGTTACTGAGAAGTGTTTGAAGGGCTTAAAAGCAGCCATTTGTTAAAAAAAGTAAATATGTTGAGAAATTATTATATTATTAAATTAACAAACTCTTTGTTACAGACTGGATGGGGTGGAGTCACGTCTCTGACGTAGGACAGCGTCTTAAAGGGACATGAGACCATAGCCTACCTACACACATCCAAAAACAACTTTGATTTATTGATTTATTTTTGACACAGAATATACCGAATATACCGCAACATGACGTTGGCTATTGTCGTAAATTTCGGTATCTGTAAATTTTCCTTCACAGAAACCATCTTCAGGTTCT